TTGTTCTCTAGAACACAAGTGGAACAAACTTCATAGAAATATTCGATGCATGATGATTTTAATGGCAAATTTCTTCGGACTCGATAAAGGGATTTTAATACTTCGTTATAGCCATTTCCCAGTCATTTAAAGTAGCTAGATCGTATTCATTATTATTTTTAAAAAGGGTAATTTGTATTCATTAGCCCAACTATCATAGAGAGACTGGTTGATCTCAGTCCACGGACCCTAAGAGGCTCCGACCTCCAGAAAAAAATTACGAAATTAAAAAAAGAATTGTACTAAATTATAATCAAACTAAGCAACCAACAATATATAAATGCATTAAATAGCATTAACTACAAACTGAAAATATTCAAACCTTTCATTAACAGGCATTAAATTACAGAGGGTTCTCAGACTGTAGGATAGCATGTTTGTTTGAAAAAACCTGAAAGGGGGGTGGGGGAGCTCAAACCCGCTTAAGTCTATGGACCCCCCACTCATCTCGTTGAGCCACCGTTTGGGTTGGAGGTTCTTTTCTGGTAGAGTTTCTGGCATGAAACTGGTATAAGAAACGGTAAATACTATTACGCCATTATTTGTGTTTTAACGATTTAGTTAATGCAATTTAAGCACAGAGTTATGTAGTAAATAATGGTACTGCAAAATTGTAAATAACTAATCGGTGTCCACCCAAAAAGTACTGTGTGATATATACACGTACGCCAACAGTATTCCACAAGAAATAAACGTAAAAACACACCATTATAGTAAGTAAAAAAAACAGATTTATGACCTAATCTTAAGATATAAATAGGCAAGTTAAATATAACGAAGATTTTTTTTTCTATGTTTTTAAGACAAAGACACTCATTCCTCTAAAAAAACATACATTTAACCTTATGTGATACCTTTAACTTTTTCGGATTTAAAATATCAATTTGTTGTCTGTTTTAAATCGATTGAAATATATATCCATTTTTTCTGTTGTTGCACCATTTACCGGCAAAGATTTCACATAGTACCTTCAGATTCCCAACCGTCTTCACCTATATGTGACACAGGTGGACGGTAAGCCGCATGAATATAGTCCAATGTGTCCAGTATCAGCTTCTTATGGTTTAAACTAGAAAACTAATAGATTTATGCCACTGTTCCTGCAATTGTCATATTGTACAATGCATGACATTGCCTGCCTTTGTTATCCAATTCATAAGCAGAGAAGTAGCGTAAACCCGCCTTTCGTTCATTAAATTTCAAATCTCAGAGAATAGACGAGCAAATCCCTTGATCAGTGTGGTACAATAAGTTTTAATGTTGAGATAATTACCGTCTACAAGAGAACGGTTTTTTGTTGAAGTCTGCTGGAGGTAATGGTTTAACAGTGGGATGTTGTAAGAAAAGATTAGAAAGCTGAAGATAGATTAAATTATATTAAGTATATTGTATATTCTAGACTTGATAAAAGCTCTTTAGATCTCATAATGCCTTTCATAATCTCTTTAATACTTCATTTACTCGCAGATTTAATTCTACTACAATTATACCGATTGCATGATTAAGTCTTTGTATAAAATGGGATAACAATTTAACATATATGTAAAAAACTGCAGACGACATACAGGACAAACATGGAAATAATAGTCAATGCAAAGAAGTGTGTGTGTATGTGCAATGTGCTCAAATCTCAGATTGAAACTAGAATTTCAACGGCTGCTGGTAACTGTGTCCAACTGCTAGATTTAGTGGAACTGAGAGGATCAACGACCGAAAAATTGAATTTCCCTTTATTGCTAATTTAAATCTGGTAGTGGACCCGAGATATTGGAATCAGTGCCCATTCAGTCAATTTTTCGATATGATGACTTCGACTTCGATGAAATGCAATAAGTCGTTTGCCTTTATGACTACTTCATTAACAGACAAGACAAAATTGACAAAAACGCCACAGAACAATACAGAAACAACAGAATCTTTGGTGATTTTTGAAAATATTCTAAATACTGTAAAATATATTCAAATATCATTACTACATGTACATTTATATAGAGTGAGAATATTTTAAAGACAGAGGCAGTTACAAATTACAAGAGGCATATCTAAGATGTGTGAAACCGTAAATATGAAAGAGTTAAAATCGCCCACAGCAACAACAATTGAAGAATATCGCAACTTGTTTTGGCTTCTCTACTGTGATTTAGAAGTTACAACTAACCAAACGTTTTTCATAAATGAGAGTGACCTTGCAATTTTCGTACTGTAATGTAAACCGCAAGTGCATCCATTTGATTTATTTCTGCGGTTTTCTTTATATAGTGCGAGATTTATTAAAATTGTCAAGAAATTAGTTCATTTATTGTCTAGGATTATCATTTTGAAAAGAAAAAAATAACAAAAACACATGATAAATGTTAAGTTAAAATAAAGATCAGAGCTGATGATTCGCATTTTGTTGCAGATTACTTAGAGAAAGCTCTTTTTTCATCCTGCTTGCCCTCTTTCATTGGTGTGGGTTTCATTATTGTCTTTTAAATGAGGGAAGGTACATAGTTGCGTGAGACAAAAAGGAGCTCTAAACGAACAGGACAAAACGTTATATCTTAAGAAAATTTGCCTGTCCTAAAAGGCAGGGCAACTTGGCGTATAATCCATTTCAATCCATTTCCATCTGAATACGTCCAATGCCTATATTTTTTTGTGTACGTTTTATTCATAAACCCTAGTACTTATTCAATTTTTTTTATTAAAGACTGGTGAAAAAACGATAGCTGGTGAATCCTTAGTAAACGACCACATTTGACCTCCATCACACGTGAAGATATGATGGACATAATGATGTCACTCCTAGAACAAGACGCTAACCGTTGTTCAAATATTGACGCTACTGGTATTTTTCTTCATTCTTTTTCAAGACGAAAATCTCATAAAAACTCACAAAAATTTGTTGTTTTCCTTGTAAAATAAACTTGTTTTTGTTTACAAATTAACTTATGACACAAGATTGTTTACTCTTACTGAACCACCTCGGCCTGTACAAATAATGAGATAACAAGACGCAAAGAAAAACTAAATATTACGATTCCACACCTAAGTGTCAAAGGAAAGGGTGCATTTCAACTACCGGACTAGAAGATACTAAATAGAACCAGCAATTGTATAATAATAAGGTTCCTCTAGATTGTTTACTGCTATTAATGAATAGTACTTACAATAGATTGTAAAATTACTTTTAATACAAATTCGAACAAAAACTCGATTTCTAACCATTAATCCACAAACTCCATTCACTCAAACTTATAAGATGTTTAATAGTACGACGAAAAAAACCCCATCAATTATCTTTTTAACAGTACACCGACAAACACCCCAGATTTAACAGACAGGAAGTTATGAATGGGTTCATCGTGGAAGACATCAATCATGTTTGTGGAATAATTCCATAATTACCCGTAACCTACAATCAAAGAGAACGGTGTGCAATCTATTGATGTATCTAATGTAAAGAAACTGGCACCATGAAAAATGTGAATCTCAATGTGAATCAGTAATTAACTGAGAATCACCATATTGGATAGTTTTCACGTAGAATAAATTTCAATACCCAATTAATCCAAACTGTTGGCTTTTCATCGACAAACCAAACATTTCCTGCAAATGAAGGAAGATGTCATAATTTCCTTATCTTATTTTTATCTGAGAAACGCTTTGATTAGACGGAGAAGAACTCAGATTTTATGACAATATTGTGACAAGTCTTTATGGAATGGTATTCATGATTCTATCAGTTTCTGATATTTTCTGACGGTTTCTATCAACTTCCTCCATCTCTTTATATAGAACCTTATCAATATTGGCGATTCTTTTAGCTTTTATTGACCACTTGAAGGCTCCAAATCGTAATAAATATGAATCACAAATATGATAATACCACCATAAGAAGAAATGTCTTCCAAAGAAATTGCAAAAATTGGTAGTAAAGATAAGCAGCCATCTTTGTGGTTGTAAAATTAACACTTAAATGAATTTGAGATTTGCGTTTTACAGTATTTGGCTTTTAATTGAGATACCGAAGATTACAACCCGATGTAGTGGGGCAGGAGGAAGAGGTTTTCGGGAAAGCTAAAAGCTGGATCCGTTTACGATCTGAATATCACCAAGAACAGCCACCCTTAATCATTCCCTAGCACGAAATTGACCGCTTCGCCCTGTTCAGAGGCATGAGATGTAACGAGGTCACTTCATTAAGATTATAGTCAGTTTTCATATTCAGAGACGTCAGAGTTCACTGCCAGTTAATTTCTAAGATGAAATTATCCTAAAGTTGTGCCATAGAAAATACCAATGGCCATCAAATTACGTTAAGTGGAAATTGGTGATACTCTATCCATGCCACTTTTAATAGGAAATGGTATTTTCATTCCATAATGACGCCTGTGGGACTGGACACGTTGCTGAGTTCTAGTCAATATAAAGAATAAACTGACGGAGATGGATAAGAAACGAAGAATGATAAAAAAAAATAGAGGAATTATTATTCACCAGAGAGTCACGAAATACGCATTAATTCAACTTTATAACTATCATCAACTATATAAGAATCTTGGGCAATCAATATCGTTTTGGCTTTTTATTAATTTGATATACTGGGGCTTGATGTTTATTTCCCTGCTCTCCTCGCATTTTTTGAATGATGACAGCCGATTAAACAATAGCTTTGGTCAAACAATATTTCTTTGTCTGTCAATCAATATCAACAAGTTCTGTCCAGCAATATCAACAAGTTCTGTCAAGCAATATCAACTAGTTCTGTCCAGCAATATCAACTAGTTCTGTCCAGCAATATCAGCAAGTTCTGTCAAGCAATATCAACTAGTTCTGTCCAGTAGTCCAGCAATATCAACTAGTTCTGTCAAGCAATATCAACAAGTTCTGTCAAGCAATATCAACAAGTTCTGTCCAGCAATATCAAATAGTTCTGCCCAGCAATATCAACAAGTTCTGTCAAGCAATATCAACAAGTTCTGTCTAGCTCTGTCCAGCAATATCAACTACCTCTGTCAAGCAATATCAACCAGTTCTGTCCAGCAATATCAACTAGCTATGTCCACCAATATCAACTAATTCTGTCAAGCAATATCAACAGGTTCTGTCCAGCAATATCAACTAGCCCTGTCCAGCAATATCAACAAGTTCTGTCAAGCAATATCAACTAGCTCTGTCCAGCAATATCAACAAGTTCTGTCAAGCAATATCAGCTAGCTCTGTCCAGCAATATCAACTAGTTCTGTCAAGCAATATCAACAAGTTCTGTCAAGCAATATATCAACAAGTTCTGTCAAGCAATATCAACTAGTTCTGCCCAGCAATATCAATTAGCTTTGTCCAGCAATATTAAATGGCTTTGTCCAGCAATATCAATTAGTTCTGTCCAGCAATATCAACAAGTTCTGTCCAGCAATATCAACTAGTTCTGTCCAGCAATATCAACTAGTTCTGTCCAGCAATATCAACTAGTTCTGTCCACCAATTTCAACTAGCTTTGTCCAGCAATATCAACAAGTTCTGTCCAGCAATATCAACTAGTTCTGTCCAGCAATATCAACTAGTTCTGTCCAGCAATATCAACTAGTTCTGTCCACCAATTTCAACTAGCTTTGTCCAGCAATATCAACAAGTTCTGTCAAGCAATATCAACTAGTTCTGTCCACCAATTTCAACTAGCTTTGTCCAGCAATATCAACAAGTTCTGTCAAGCAATATCAACAAGTTCTGTCCAGCAATATCAACTACCTCTGTCAAGCAATATCAACTACCTCTGTCAAGCAATATCAACAAGTTCTGTCAAGCAATATCAATTAGCTTTGTCCAGCAATATTAACTAGCTTTGTCCAGCAATATTAACTAGCTTTGTCCAGCAATATCAACTAGTTCTGTCCACCAATTTCAACTAGCTTTGTCCAGCAATATCAACTAGTTCTGTCCAGCAATATCAACTAGTTCTGTCCACCAATTTCAACTAGCTTTGTCCAGCAATATCAACTAGTTCTGTCCAGCAATATCAACTAGTTATGTCCACCAATTTCAACTAGCTTTGTCCAGCAACTGGTGTATCTTGTTGCGAAACAACGTGCAGACATCGGCAAAACTCTGGTGTAGACAAGGGGAGACAACGCTCGGACCACAGTGATATCAGTAACTCGTCTGCAGCATTAGGAAACACATGTTAGCAATCATACAAGTTTCATGTAAAGGGAGGCAACATTGTATATGAGGAATACAGACCACAATAAAACTATACAGATCATAAATTCACGCCTGTGTGGTCCTTCTGTGAGATATACATGTATGCTGTCGTTACTATAGTAACTTCTCTTATGATATACAAATAGACTCACTCCACTAAAACATTTTATGCAAATGATTGTATACGACTGTAGTCCAGGCTATTTTTAGAAATCTCCTATATCTCTCCCTTTTGGGGTTTTTGCATGCCTATCTTTGTGTAGTCCAGGCTATTTTTAGAAATCTGCTTTCTCTCTCCCTTTTGGGGTTTTTGCATGTCTTTTTTGGAGTAATTTTGGTCTAGATTTGAAATTTGATGTCTGAAATTGCATTATCTTTAAGATTTGGTGAGATGATGAGAGATCTAAAGGCGGAAATAGTCGTTTTGTGAAGTGCCAAACACTAGCTATGAGTATAACCGGTTGTAGTCTACTTTCAATTTTAGTAGCTCATAGTCATCATAATATATTGAATTTTTCAGGAGATATAAAGGAATGGTCAGGCTTTCATTTCACATATTGGGAAGCTTTCAACGAGGTTTCTGGAAAAAGTTGTAGAAGGTTGAATTTCGTGTTTTAACATTGGAAGAGATGGCAAATGAATTAGTGGAGTGAGTCCAAATAACGCAAACCAAAAGTCTTCTTTCGGAAAAACTCGCAAACAGCCTAACTCCCAGTTACAATTAAGGGAGATAAGAAATACAATGTACAGACCACAGCGTGTATCAAAACATGACTTGATTACTGCCAAATTATTGAGAGTTTATCAGTGATATTGAAAGGAAACAAATGCCTTCTTTAAATTACCCTTGAGTATTTTAAATCTTACTTTATGTATAATAATGATGTCACCTGCTCCTGTTAAGTGTAAAGGAAATTAATTGTAATATGTTTCCTGCATGTCTATAAAAAAAATTGACAATATGACTGATCAAACGTTCTTTTGATCGGCAAAATAACTGATCATTGCGTGTTATATGATATAAGAGATCTGAAGTGGAATACATGGACTCACTCCACTAAAACATTTTATGCAAATGATTGTATAGGAATGTAGTCCAGGCTATTTTTAGAAATCTTCTTTCTCTCTCCCTTTTGGGGTTTTTGCCTGCCTATTTTTGGGTAAAATTTGGTCTAGATTTGGAATTTGATGTCTGAAATTGCATTATCTTTCAGATTTGGTGAGATGATGAGAGACTTAAAGGCGGAAGGCTAATTCTAAAAATAGTCGTTTTGTGAAGTGCCAAACTCTAGCGGATGAGTATAACCGGTAGTAGTCTACTTTCAATTTTAGTAGCTCAAAATTTTCATGGTCATCATATAATGAATTTTTTAGGAGACATTGAGAATTGGTCAGGCTTTCATTCGACATATTGGAAAGCTTTCAACGAGATTTCTGGAAAAAGTTATAGAAGGTTGAATTTCGTGTTTTAACATGGGAAGAGATGGCAAATGAATTAGTGGAGTGAGTCCACATATAGTACAGACAAATCTGGTTCTCTCCCTTCGCTGGACGTGATATACGGATGTGATATCAGTTCAACGTTGTAAGTTAAGCCTACTCCTGGATTGCAATGCGGTACCGTATGGGACAAGAGTCAATGTAGAATATTCGGTAATGAATTTATGATTCAGCTTTGTATCGATATGTATAAGTTATACCAAATGTGGGTATTGTCACAATGAAAATTCTCTAAAACGTGCGATCCTTAAAGCTGCCATTATACCGAATGGCCGCTGGAACTGACAGAGCCTAATCTGTCAGGCTAATCGTATTTAGTGGAGTAAACTCTTGCGATATCAATTTCAACGGTTCTAATGTCTTTAGATAGTTAAATCCGACCGACTTAAAGGAATAATATGCTTTATGATGGAAATTAGAAACGTCGAAGCTTTGTCATTTTATAGGCTTCATACGAAATCATGAAGTACACTAGTCATTGTCCTCATTTTAAACAAAGGATCGCGTATTTACGCTTGTCTGGCGATCTTCGCGATCCCGTGGCGTTGTCAATGCGTTCCAGAACAGATCTCCGAACCTTGGTGTTTATTTTGAACATTAAATTAAACGCTGTGTCAGTCGGCGAATAGTGTCTATAATGGCGACAATTGCACGAAGTCTGGTGTTTCCTATACGCTTGAATACCACGCTTATGGCTAACTTACCACACCCTGAGCCAATATTCCATCACATTAACAGCTTAGTAAGAACGACTTTCCGGTGTGCGACTGGGCCATAGGAGATAAACAACAATAAATATACTATAGAATGATTTTATTAAATCATAAATGATCCAAAATTCTCAAAACGTGCTATTCCTTTAATAAACAAATCACAAATCAGATCTTCCCTACAAACATGATAATGACAAAATAATTTGTTCGCACTTATTAAGTAATTGAAAGGTGTAAATTAATAACAGGGCAGTAACCTCCTGTCATCACCCGTGTCCAATTTATCGTTTCAATGTCTGATATCCGATCCATAATAACATCGACTTCCCTTATCGATTGGCAAGAGCTATAATCAAGGCACATATGAAATAAAATTCACTTTTTAATTTATGTATCGGGTTATTATGACAATTTACACTAAACACTGAAGGAAGTACAAAGATACAAAGACGTTTAATGGCTTTCGTATGTTTACCACTCCGATTCCCGTTCGACGTCTGAGTCATGATCGGCAATACTTAATTCATATTTTGGTCAATTTCTTCGGAAATGTATCCATCACAGATGTCGGCGGGGTCTCTGAATGTTTTTACGATGAAAATTGTAACCGTACCTGGTGCCACCCCCGTACTTTGTATGAAATAGTGGTAGAACCAGCCTCTAACAACTGGGATTGAAAAGAATGACTCAGTGGGAGAGGGGAGAGGGCAACGGTTGAGGTTAACATTTCAAATAAGGGCAAGCCATAGAATGGAGAGGTCTGAGGGTGCTCCCACCTCAGGAAAACATATGGAACATAGAACTAACTTATTGATTCTGACAAAAGTTTTTGAGAAAAACGTATATAAATCAAGTGGGGTATAATTGGGATGCAAGCTTATCAGATTTACAACAGTTACTTAATACAGAAATGAAAGGTATAAAAATAACGTTTTTTCTCATCAAAAGCCACCAGTATTTAGATTCAATTCTGCTGTTTATCCCACAGTGAGTAGTTTGCATAACCTGTATAATTAAAATGTGTTTATTTGAGGTTATTGTCAGGCGTAGCGAAAATGGCCGCCATAGATACGATTGCTTGTTTTTGAAGAAAAATTTACAGATTTTTTAATAATAATGATAATAATAATAATAATAATATATTTATTCAGAAACTTCAAGGCTATTAGCCTATAGTAGGTTTGTTAAAATTATAATTATATACATGTACAAAAATTGAACAACATACAAAACAAATGCTAATATGTCGATACAAATAAGACTATAGTAGGGTTGTTTCATTTGTAAAAGAATGTATAAAAATTGGAGAATACAAAAATATAATACACAACATACAATAAAAAATGATTTATATATATGAACATTTATAACTACATGTCAATATGATACAGATTTTTGCTATGTAGATAAAGGTGCCGTCGCACCATAATGATTACCAGTTGCGTGTCGTTGCGAATAATGCAAGTGGCTATGAGTTGTGTTGTGAGTTACGTTCAAAGCTTATGACCTCTATTCTTGTTCGCAACCAAACGACACTAGTGATCGCTATGATGTGAGGGTCACTTCATATAAAACTCCAATCATTCTTACATACAGTATGAAGTATTAAGAATAAATTCTATTGTTACAAATTTTTTGAATGATAGTGCGAAATTCGGTATTTCTCAAAACGTAGAAGGGAAACTTCAGACAAACTGGGACGACAGCCAAAAGGATAAAAGTTATCTGAATCATACCTCTAATAGAAGAATTTGTGAATAAATATCGGCCAAAGAAAAAAGTCAACACGGCTGGGATGGAAGACAGAATTTCAAGCATAAAATATTTAAAAACCAGTGAAAATAACCTTATACCAGCCTCGAATTCTCGACCAATAAGCATACAATGTTTTTTACGTTCTATCGCTATTCTCCTTACATTGTAGTATGCAGCACAAGACAAAATGGTCGGATAAACAAAGAACGTCGTAAGACTTAGTACTGTTACCCATACCACATCAGGCGAAGGCAGGAATTGAACTACGTACTCTTCATCTGCAGCAAACATCACTGGCGTAACAAATACAGGAGCACAACAAACCAAAATATTGATTACCAATGTTAATATTATATATGAAATTACCTTGTTTTTATTTACTGGCGAATGATCCAGACCTGACCGTAAAACTAAAAAAATATAAAACATGTTGGCCGAGCTCATATGAACAGACATGCAAGACATGACGTTAATTACAATTTGGACAGCTACTTTTGAACTGAAGTTCCAATGCAATACACAGAATCCATTAGTAATGTCGTATAGAATAATGATACAATCTAAAATAAAACAAGAACACAATTCACACAACCACAAGCATTTACAAGCAAACGTTATAGTTGTCAGTTTGAAAATTAATATTAAAAGCACAAAATGCTGTACTGCA